AGATATCTAATTTTAACACGAATCTATAGATTGTAGTCGCAAAGGTGTATCTATAGATATAGATAGCTAATAAGTTTAGCCTAATTTAGCTAAGATAACTAAATAGGAGAATCTTTATAAAAACCTAGATATCTAGTAAAAACCTTTAAATACTATAGAAGCGGGGGTCTAGACTATTCGATTAAAAACGGACAAGGATCTAATTAAATAGATCACGTATTTATAATGTGATGATCTAGAGATATGCTATTAAAAAGAAGATGAAAAAGGGTTAAATAAAAGATGGACTATTTAGATATCTAGGTTTTTTATATATCGTAGACGTATATATATACCTTATAAAGAAGATCTTTATATAAAACTACTATAAATGTATTATAATAACCTTATTATAGGTTATTTTAGCTGATCTAGGATTAAAAAGCTATTGAAACGATACTATTATTGGATAGGAATATTTGACAATATTAAAAAATATATCTAAATCTATAAAGTTTATTAGATAATAAAAACGTTTTAATATAGACTATATAGGGAACTATAACTATTACCCTTACTAAAAAAGCCTTTTATAAAAGTTTTAATAGATTTTATCATTGGTTTTCCTCTATCAATTTAGAATCGAAGAATTGTTAATATTATTTTGATTATTGTTAATAGATTTTTGAAATGGTGTATATTTACTCCTATTTTGACTACTATAGATGTTACAGAGCTTATAATATTGTTTTACAATATAATTAAGCTTTTTTATAACCTCCCTAATAGAATTATTTCTAATAAAGATACTATATTTATAAGCTAATTTTTTATAAGACTCTATTATCTAACTAAAATATATAATTACTTTTTAATAACCTTTTATCTCTAAACTGATAGGTAAACTAAATAAATAAACTAGATTATTAAAACATATTTATAATACTTTATTAGGATTGAGAACGAGAGATAGCTAGCTTTATTAAAAATAGTATAATTCGCTTATAATAATAACCAAAACTCTACAATTAGAATATCCTTATTTTAAGTTCTCCTTAGATATAATCCAAATTTCTAAATTCGTGAATAAGATATTTATACTAAAAAGAAGATATTAAATATAGCTAAAAAGATCTAGAAACTATATATCCTATGAGAAGAGCTATAAAAACGATAACGATCTGTTATTGATTTGTAAAAATCTTACTATAACAAGAAATATATACTAAAAACCCTTAAAAAAGATGAATTCGTAAGATTTTCAATGAAAAACCTACATTTAAAAGACAAGAAACTAGTATTTAAGTTTATTAGGCCATTCTATATCCTCGAATACGTTGGAAAACAAGCTTATTAATTAGCTCTTTCTAAACAATATATGTTACTCCATAACATTTTCCTAGTCCAATTCCTGGAATAATAAAATCCCTAAAAAGAAATCGAATTAACTATACCTATATCTAAGCTTAAAGATAAAAAAGAATAGGAAGTTAAAGAAATTAAGGATTATTATAATTTCAATAAAGAGCTCTATTATTTACTAAAATAGCAAGGATAGCCTATTGAATATAATCAATAGATACTAAAAAATCAAATAAATATCTTAAATTTAATCAACTCTTACGAAAATAAACTACAAAGAAAGTGATCTATTTAAATAAATCTTATTTTTGATTTAAATTAATCTTACTTTAAAAACTCTTATTTTATAAATTAACTTTACTTTAGTATCGATTTAGACTTATTTTATAAATAGAACGTTTATATATAAAAAAAGGAGTATAGCAAGACTATAAAAATAAATTCTTATCACTCTAACAACCTTCCTTCTCTTTAATCTTATAATATCAATTTAACGACGAATTAATCTTAATATTTAAATAAGATCAAGATTTCAATATTTGGATAAGATTGAAATAAGATAAACTTAATCCTAAATCTAAGATAAATCTATTTAACTAGTCTATTTACAACGTAACAAAAATTGAGAAATTCTTAAACAAACAACTAAAACAATAAAAATCTTTATTTCACTTTATAAATCTTGCAATTATAATTCATTACTAATTTGACTCCTATAAATAATAGAATCAAATTATTTTTCTTTTTTCTCCTTTCTTACTACACCTTTAAAGTCGACGACAAGGTAGTCGTTAACTATCTTTTAAGTCTCGAATAAACTAGAAGGATAGGGATCGTAAGAGATTATTTCTTTTTGATTTATAGATTTATAAGATAATCTATAATATAACTTATTATTTAAAAGCAATTAAGATCTTTTATAAAAAAGGATTCTCTAGAGATCCTATATCACGTCTATCTCTATTAACAGACTAGAACAAAAACAATTTAAAAGTGATTGAGATCCTTTATAAGTTGATAATTTAAAGAGGCATACTATCCTAAACCTTCTAAATAAAAATATCAAAAATAATCTTTTATATTAGCACTCTTAGATTGAAAGCAATTCTAGATATAGTAATATTATTAGACCCTAATTATCTAGTAATATCCTAGTAATATTTATAAAAAAAGAAGTAAAGAGATCTTTTAAATTTAGATTTCGCTAAATTCTAAAATCGGAACCTAATATTGCTAGAAAAAAATCTAGATAAATATTTATTATACTAGAGCTGAATAATAGCCTTACTATCACAAGCGAGAAATATCTTAAAAATAGATATCTAAATAATAACCTAGTGATTATATCTATAGAGATTAAGTTAAAATAATATTGATTTATTAGCAAATCATCTCTAGCCTAAAAGAAGGATAACTTATTATATTAAAAGTATCCTTTTTTTCTTTAAATGGAGTTTCTTTATAATAAGTGCTACGATATTGTGTATATATTAACTCAAAATCTTGAATAAGATCTTTTGTAATTACACGTAGGTTTTAGAGGAGATTATTATCTTAGTGAGACCAGTTCGTACTATTGTTAATACTTTTCTAGAAGATATCCTTAATCTATTTAATAAGATTAGTTAAGTCTCGAGTATCTCTCGAAACATTTTTAAGAGAAGAGAGACAGTTATTACTGTACTAATCGCATAAAATAGAAATATAAGTGAAACTGCACTCAATTTTAATGGGAATGGGATCTTTAAGCACTATATTGAAATCCTTAATCGATTAGCATAAATATGTTAAATATTAGTTGTATTAAATAGTTATAGGGCGAGTATGGGATTGAGGAGAAGATCTGTTTTTTCGAGGTTTAGTTATAATTAATTTAGTGCTAAAACAAAGATAATATTGGAATAGAGAAGATAAGAAGAGAACTAAGAATAAGAAGATAATAGTTAAAGAGAAAAGGATTTTATTTGTTTTATATTATATGATTTTAAAGAGATAAATCTTACAAAGGATCTATTCTCGTCGAGAGATATTACGATAATAAAAGAAAAAGATTTGATATGTCCCAACGACGATAAAAGAGTCCTGAAACGAGATCTCAATAAATCGCGAATGAAGACATTCGTATAGAAAAGAGGGAGATAATTATAACGGGGTTCTTCTTTATATTTCCTTGTGACAAGGGATATCTGATATTCCAGGCAATGAGAATTCATACTTTAAGGGTTCGAAGCTCATAGATTAGGAAGACTACCGAAAAGGGTCTAAATATTATACAAATCAATGACGAGTCGATGTAGATTCTCTATAGCTTATAGGACCTAACGACTCTCTCAATGGATTGGGTATTTAAGAGGGAGAGACGAGGCTTTTCTCTGATTCTGATCAAGAATCAGTCTTGTATTAAAAGATAATATTATGGAATCCCTTTCTATTTATTATTGATTTGTAATCGTATCGACGTCTATTCTTATCCTTCCTTTTACCGAGTTGACAGGCATTACACCTAACAACGTATAACCTTTACACTAAGTCTTTAAATATTAATTTAGATATAAAGATTATAGAAATCTTATTATCTATAATGATTTTTAATAAATCTAAATATTATTTATTTTATTAAAATAGTAAAAATATCTAAATTCAAAGAATTAGATTAAAAGTTTAAAGGAAACCATGATTTATAGTATATAAAGGAAGATTGTAATATTCAGATATATATTTCTATTATAGATATAGTTGAAATATATAAATATAGGATTTCTATATTACTATTATCTAATTTTATAAATTCAATTAATAAAATAATAGTAACTTCTTATATAGATCTTATAAATATAATCATTTTATAATATTTCAAGTAATTAATTACTTTAAAAAGAAGAATTATTTAATTATAACCGAATATATATAAAGAACGGTAATTAATTGCAAGTAGTCATCAAGTTATACATGCTAAGACCTTCCTTTCTAGACGATTTATGTTAGCTCTGGGCTAGCACGGGTTTGACTTTTGGACCCGCGGGTCGGGTTAGGTTCTGAAAGTTGGACCCAAGTCGGGTTTTGTTGAGGTCTAGCTAGAGTAGTATATATTTGTTAGGCAATAAATCCTATCTAGGTCTTCAAATAAAATAGCTTGGCGACTATTAAATAGTATAACTAAACAGAAAAATGATGATTAGCAAAATAGAGTGACTTATAAGTTAATTAATAAGTCGTTTAGATTTATAAAGGGTGAATCAACTTATATTAGATAGACGCGAATAAATAAAACCTGCAAGATTCTTGTAAGTCCTATAGGTTGGATCCCTATATAGAAAAATACTAGGCTTCTTTATTAGCACTTAGGTGACACCCACCGAACTATTGACCGCATATAAGCCACATCGTAGAGCGCGACCGATGGGAAGGAAGCCTTAATGACTAAAAGCAGCAAGAGCTAGTTCACTAGGGTGAGTAGGGGCGATTTGGGTGTTGGGGGTGGTAGAGGTGAGCTGGATGAGGGGTGAGAAGGTGAGCAGGGTGAGAAGGTGAGCAGGGTGAGAACGTATGGGTAAGTTAGGGGCTTGGCACTACCAAACACCAGATAAAAGCACGACCTAGGGCCGTTTTCTCATCTACCATCTTATTTTCTAAACTCGATTTTATTTCGCACATTCACCATGGAGCTGGATAAAGAGACCAGCCGTCGTCTCGAGGAATACCAAAGACGCACGCAGTCTCGTGGCTTTACTAAAGAGTATCAGGATAGCTTTAAAAAAGAAGATAATGTTGTCTGCCACAAACCACTAGCTCCAATTACACACGCCAAACACGAAACCGCTGCACTCTATTGGACTTTGTGAGTCAGACTAACCAAATTTCTGAATATCTCAATATCTACTTACAGTTCTAAGATTCAAGCTTTCCCGTGGTGAAACAAGTGGTGCTAAACTTTCCAAAGACACGCCCCTTCCAACATTACAAGAGTTGAAGAACTTTATTGAAAGCTTTGTAGCGTCAAGAAAAGATCTTTTTTCCTAAAGTTCAATAGCCAATGTCTTTTCGAACTTTGTATCAAAATGATAGCGCGAGACCTTTCAGGAAATTCCCTCCCAAGTAAAAGCCGATATCCGTAATGTATGATATTCCTTTTATTAGATATCGGAATTTTCTAACTGGAATTTTATGCAGTTCATCAAAACTACACTTACACGCAAATATAACCTACCTACAAAGCCTCGTGATGTATTTCATGTCAACTATAAAGATATTTAGTATTTACTCTAACGACTATTTATTGATGACTGGCACGATTATCTACACGAACGGATGCGTGTTTAGATAGCAAGTGTACTCTCACTTTTCGCGGGATCTGGAGCTAGAGTCAGTGCGATTGTAGAGTCAAGCTCATATCGAGGTACAAATGAGTATCTTTACTATAAGGTTCGTGAAAATCTGCAATTCTTCGTTTCGTCTATCTTATTAGATAATATCAGCATATCAAACTCCATATAAAATAAAGCAATAATAGGAAAAAGTTAGTTCGTTGGATATCTGTCGATTCGGAGTTTTTGAAAGGCTAGCGCTACCGCGATGATATGAAACTGTTAGTTATCCTCAGCTCACTTTATACCTTAGCTAACTTTCAATTATCCAGATCCATAAACTGGTTCAATAAATACCCTATACTTAGATTAAACTTCGTTTTTTGGGTTATTGTCCATAACGTCGCAGATGGTGCATTCAAAAACCTTACAAACCTCGATGATATTCTCACAGTGAGACTACCCGCACACAGAACTTCATTCACCCTCGAATAGAAAGAGCAGTATTTACAGCAACCATTCTTCAGGATAGTTATATCAAATAAGCCCGATCCTATTAAAAGCTTAACATTCTCTTCTCTCAAACATCACTTTACAAGTTTAACAAAACGAGATGGTTTTAGAGATAAGTTGCGCGTGTATGGAATCCGAGGCGGTATGATTAATAGACTCGATCGTCCGTTACATTCCCTATAACTGAGAGGTTATTATGTTGATATTGATGTAGCCAAGGCATCATAAGTAGCCTGTGGCCAGGCGCTTGATTATCAAAATCTAAATATATTCTTGAAATACTAAGCGCAGCTAAAGACAGTTGATATTCAAGCTGTATTTTGTGGATTTGAGCTAAATATTAAAGGCCGCGATATATAATAAAGCATGGAGCATTATCGAGATTCAAATGTCCTACTATGCTTGAACGCATCTAGAAGAATCGAATTTGAGGCCGACCCTGAGGTTATCAAAATGAACGAAAAAATTCGAGCTTTGACTCAAGAGATCGATAGTAAACCTGACTGACATCCTAACCTCTGTAAGGAAAGATCCACTTTGTACGGACGGAAGGTAAAACTACAACGGAGTCACCAAGAGAAACTGGTGTAGGAATGGTGGTTATTATCCTATGATGAATATATATCTGGCAATGATTTTTTAGAAAAAGATATCATATCTCTTTTTGATATCTATCGAAAATATATCCCGGAGCGTGATCGTTTGAGCTGAAACTTGTTTGAAAACATATCAATTGATAGCGATATTGGAAGACAATGTCTCGCGGATCTAATCGCTATCTGCGCGCCCACTGAGCGCGTAGTATACTATCCTGGACTATACCCTGTGGATGGCCAATGTCCACTATGTTCCTAATTAATATCGAGGTGTCGTACTGTCTTCCTAATAATGAAACCTCTCGTCTAACCTGGAAAAAGTATAAGCTTTCCTTAACGGGCTAAACATATTCTTCAATGTCAACGCAAGTTACATAACGCTGCTTCTTATCAACAGGTTTATAAAAATAACAAGCGCGTACATCGTCGGATAAACCACAATTATATTTAGTTTTGTTATCTGTGCGCTGAGTTGATCTATAGCCCTAAGGAATGGAGAGGCCATTGTAAGAATCATCTTAATAATTTGAGTCTCTGATGTGATATACTCACTTACTGAAGCACTCTTATCTTCCTTGGGTTTTGTCCTTTTTGTCTAGGCGATGGCAGCAAAGGCAGCGATGAAAGATTTAAGCAATGGCTGTCCAAACCCATATTTCTCAATCATATCGACGAACATCTGAGCTCACTTAAACACCTAGCTCTAATTCATTGTCCCTATCCTTGCTATGGTGTCAAAATTTACAATGGTATCACAGAGTTACAGCACTATTTATTTAATACACACTCACTTGAAGAGCCTCGTTCTAACTGTATTAGCTAAAAGCGACGATGGGGAGCTATGGAAAAAGAGGACGACTCAGCTATTCTACAAGAAGAGAAGTGATTTAAGGCTGAACTAGTATTCGAGAAGAAAAGCCTATCTAAGATACTTTAATAAATGCTACCAATTTAGTTTCGCGAGTTTTATACCATAACGTAGCTTTCTCAGCTGCCAAAAACCTATAACGACATCTAGCTTTTGTCTTTTCTACCTGTCCGATGAGAGCAAGCAGTATAGTGAAAGATTTTGAAAATAGCTTACCAAATTAAATCTTCTTACTCATATTGATAAGTATTTGAGCTAGTTGAAGCGTTTAGCCTTGATCAAGTGCCCTATCTATATTGCAAGATAGAAGGTCTACTTGATAAAAGGACTAATAAGAAGCTGATCTAGAGTAGAGAAGTACAGATCCCTTCGAAATAGTTGATTCTAGTCGTCGAAGTAAAATGACCGACTGAGGAAAAGAAAGGAAGAAAGAGATAGAGAGAGGGCTATCTGGTCTAGGGAGTCATCTGACATCCTAAAAGTGTCGAAATAGCTGAGAATTTGAAAGGAAATTAACCCGATCTTGGGAGTCTGGGTAAAAATTCTATTTTTATTTTGATTTTGTTGTTTTTTTCTCTCTATTTTCTCTATTTTCTCTTTCTCTGATGTCTTATCCAGTAGAAACAAAAACGAAAATCAAGGAAAGATCCAATCAGGCTTCGTTAATAAGTCTCTTATAAAACCAACTAATAGAATCAAAGAATATTATTTTCAAAAGAATTATAGGAAAGGTATCTCTATATTTATTTTCTTTTAGAATGCGAGGCTCGCGCTCTAGCCTTCAATTTTTTAAGCTCTCGCTTAAGTTTTCTGATTTCGTTTTTTTTGGCTGAACCTTGACGTGTGCGAGGTTTCTCTTTTCTATACCGGCTTCAGGATTTATCCTTCCGACTGGTAGATGAAATCTCATGATCCGAGAAATTAGGATTATCTGTATCACTACTAGAGCTTTCGCTTTCACTCTCTTCTCGCAAATCAATGCTACTATGAAGCGGCCTGTTGCTTTCTTTGTAGGTGGCCTCTAGCTCTTTTGCCTTCTGGTACAACATTTTATCACCTCGGAAAGCGGGCCCATTAGCGATACGTCGTATAAAAGAGCGGCCTTTTAGTGTATTCTTCCCGTCTTTCCATAGAACTAGAGCTTTTGTCTAAGGATATATTGCCCCTCTCTCTGATTTGATTAATACCAGAGTATCCATTCTGGAATCATTATCGTCGGGGACTTTCCAGTCTACAGCGATGATTCTTTTTATATCGCTTCTGGTATATTTCCAGACTTCATCCTCACCATCATCTGTCTAAATAATCCTTTTCACTATCCCACGAGAGCTTGTAGTCCATAAGCATAGCACTATGATTTTATCGTATAGCTCGTACGACCCAGCCCTGATTCTGTAAACGGGAGCTGACTTATCACCGTATTGGATAAAGGTTTGAGTCCCTGTGCCCTTAGGCCACCAGTGAAGGACTTCACAGGATAAGAATTGATATTAATCCTTTCTAGTACATGATTCCAACGCATCCAGATCATCAACATCTGGATCAGGCACAGCTATATGATTTCTTTTATTTTTCTAGCTTATTTTCGCAGCCTTTAGTGTTTCAATAATCCTTTTAATATCAACATTCCAACTTTCAGATAGCCCAATATCTTCATTCAGCTCTTGGATCTGGTTGTGGACCTGCTTATAATGATCTCGAATGGCTGGTTTGTCTTTTCTGGATACCCCTTTCGCCTCGTATGAAGCAAGATCCTCAATCAAAGACCGTAGAGCATGTTTATACGCTCCACTGGAAATAAAAGGGTATGGTGGATTCATCTGCCGTTTAAGACATTTGTCGCAGATTTCCTTATTGATCTTGTCAAAGTATAGAGTATATAATTCAAGGTCCTGACTGTTACTCAGAACGGTGCTTATCATATTGAGAAATTCCTCTTTTTCAGATTGTTTTGTATTAATTAGATTAATAATCTAGTCGTCTATAGTAATATCACTCATCCCAACATCGCCATCGCTGTCCTTATCAGGAGTCTATGCCGGGGTATTATTAAGATGGATATCTAGAATAACATCACGAGGCTCTAATATGCCTCCTATAGGTGGCTTGTGTGGTACTGGTAGTGTATTGAAGGTTTGAAACTGAACATCGTGATTTTGGTGGTCAGGTAGTGGCTCAATCTGTGACTCTGGTTCCGGTGTGGATAATTGATAGTTTAGGCGTGAACGATCTTCTTTCTCTTTTCCTGATCTTTTCTGTATAGAAGACATTGTATTAATCTAGATGGAAAAGCAGTAGCTTAGAGATGAACGGTAGAAAGCAGGAACCAAGATGGGCAGAGATATTATATAGTAAACTGTCTCCTTAAAGTTATGTAGTTCTTCAAGCGGAACCTAAAATGGCCAGGGAACCAGAAATGGTCCGTGACCCAAAAACGGTCCGTGACCCAAAAACGGTCCGTGAACCAAAAATTCCATCAACTATCATTAACCTAGTTTCTAGATATCGGTCAGTGGGAATTTGAATAATGAGAATGAAAATTACATACAGCATCAATTCCTATGCAATTTTTCATTCTTTTAGATATTATTCATGCCCAAAACTTATGTATCTTTATACCTAGATAAGAGGAGACAGAGAACCCAGTCAGTACAGTACAGTCTATTATTTCAAATAAACTATATTCTTCCCAAATATATACTGTACTAACATACGCTATATAAACTGATATTCACTAGCTTTATTTAATGAAATCCCGCTCAACAATGAAATACAATGCAATTGTCATAAATACTATATATATGTAAGGATTTATTTTAAGAAGACTGAGAACCCAGTTTGTACAATAAATCATTCACTATATAGCATCAGTGTTTTTAGTATATTAGGAATCAAATCAGTCACCTAGAGTATAGCCATATAGAGAATAAATTACTTACAGCAAATAGCTAGAACCTTGGGAGCATCTAGACTATAAAGACTCCGAGTATACAGCCCACTGCTTTATCTATACCTCTTAAAATAGTATAGTCTCTTCATAATTTAAAATAATTAGCTCTTTTTCTCGAATTTTAACTTCCGCGCTTAAAATAATTTGCTATTATTCAATACATCTTTCCTCTACTAGATATAACTTATATAAGATATTTAAATTATCGTTTTGTAAACGTGATATCAAATCGGAGGCAGGGTCAATATCATCCTACTAGAGGTGAGAGTAAGTATAAGTTCGATCAAAAGATTATGTTAGACTGAACACCTCTACAAGTATAGCTCGAAATCCTGACCCAATCTCATCGCATAGTTATATATAGGCACCAACGGAGTGCTTACTTAAATGTTTCTTAAAAAAAGATCGTAGATATAGCTTCTCTAGCTTCCATTTATACGGCCTATTTCCCTCAAAAGTCTTAAGCCGTACACTAGTAGGTTCAATATTTATTCCAAGAGTTTCAACTAAGAAAACAGTTAGCCATTTTTTGATCAAAGTTCAACAGTAATACCCATAAATATGGTCTACAAGACGCTTTCTATATATACTTCTCCACCTAGCACACTTCTTATTTCCAACAGTATCATGGTTTTCATCATCTATTATTATAAGTTCAAAATAGAGGGTAGCGTTAAGTCAAGCAAAAGACGGACGTAATATATAATATAATATATACGTAAAGTCAGAGACAAGGGGAGAAGAAAGAGGAAAAGAGGGAAGCTCTTTCATCTACACCCATCTACCCTACGGGAAGTCTGACACAGCAGGAAACTATAAGAAATTCTCTGTAAGAAAGATCTAAACCTTTATAAGTCCTTCGCGACCTATGTTCTAGGGTTGCAGTATTAGCACGTCTAATCTAAGAGACAATGGCTAAATAAGCTAAATGACCGAAAAATCATATATTCTAAGCCAAGAACCTTAATTTTGGATTTTTGTGTTCATATTACTATATAAGATAGATTAAAATCAGTTTTACTACTTAGCCACAGAGATTCTTTATTGAACTCTCTTCTGAAACACGCTATACCTTTCACAGTCAGTCTTTCAACAACCTTTTTTGTTGGCAGTAATCTAGTATAGCTATAATAAATAAAGATAAAAATAGTGTTTGTATTAGGCCTGTTAATATTTTTTATATCTCTGTCTACTCGTACT